TAAGATATTGAACAACTCCAAGATGACCATAATATGATGCATAAATGAGTGGAGTATTTCCATAATAATTCTTTGCTTCTTTATCAGCTCCAACTGAGATAAGATATTGAACAACTCCAAGATGACCATAATATGATGCATAAATGAGTGGAGTATTTCCATAATAATTCTTTGCTTCTTTATCAGCTCCAACTGAGATAAGATATTGAACAACTCCAAGATGACCATAATATGATGCATAAATGAGTGGAGTATTTCCATAATAATTCTTTGCTTCTTTATCAGCTCCAACTGAGATAAGATATTGAACAACTCCAAGATGACCATAATATGATGCATAAATGAGTGGAGTATTTCCATAATAATTCTTTGCTTCTTTATCAGCTCCAACTGAGATAAGATATTGAACAACTCCAAGATGACCATAATATGATGCATAAATGAGTGGAGTATTTCCATAATAATTCTTTGCTTCTTTATCAGCTCCAACTGAGATAAGATATTGAACAACTCCAAGATGACCATAATATGATGCATAAATGAGTAGAGTATTTCTATAATAATTCTTTGCTTCTTTATCAGCTCCAACTGAGATAAGATATTGAACAACTCCAAGATGACCATAATATGATGCATAAATGAGTGGAGTATTTCCATAATAATTCTTTGCTTCTTTATCAGCTCCAACTGAGATAAGATATTGAACAACTCCAAGATGACCATAATATGATGCATAAATGAGTGGAGTATTTCCATAATAATTCTTTGCTTCTTTATCAGCTCCAACTGAGATAAGATATTGAACAACTCCAAGATGACCATAATATGATGCATAAATGAGTGGAGTATTTCCATAATAATTCTTTGCTTCTTTATCAGCTCCAACTGAGATAAGATATTGAACAACTCCAAGATGACCATAATATGATGCATAAATGAGTGGAGTATTTCCATAATAATTCTTTGCTTCTTTATCAGCTCCAACTGAGATAAGATATTGAACAACTCCAAGATGACCATAATATGATGCATAAATGAGTGGAGTATTTCCATAATAATTCTTTGCTTCTTTATCAGCTCCAACTGAGATAAGATATTGAACAACTCCAAGATGACCATAATATGATGCATAAATGAGTGGAGTATTTCCATAATAATTCTTTGCTTCTTTATCAGCTCCAACTGAGATAAGATATTGAACAACTCCAAGATGACCATAATATGATGCATAAATGAGTGGAGTATTTCCATAATAATTCTTTGCTTCTTTATCAGCTCCAACTGAGATAAGATATTGAACAACTCCAAGATGACCATAATATGATGCATAATGAGTGGAGTATTTCCATAATAATTCTTTGCTTCTTTATCAGCTCCAACTGAGATAAGATATTGAACAACTCCAAGATGACCATAATATATGCATAAATGTGGAGTATTTCCATAATAATTTTTGCTTCTTTATCAGCTCCAACTGAGATAAGATAGAACAACTCCAAGATGACCATAATATGATGCATAAAGAGTATTTCCATAATAATTCTTTGCTTCTTTATTAGCTCCAACTGAGATAAGATATTGAACAACTCCAAGTGACCATAATATGATGCATAAATGAGTGGAGTATTTCCATAATAATTCTTTGCTTCTTTATCAGCTCCAACTGAGATAAGATATTGAACAACTCCAAGATGACCATAATATGATGCATAAATGAGTGGAGTATTCCATAATAATTCTTTCTTCTTATCAGCTCCAACTGAATAAGATATTGAACAACTCCAAGATGACCATAATATGATGCATAAATGAGTGAGTATTTCCATAATAATTCTTTGCTTCTTTATTAGCTCCAACTGAGATAAGATATTGAACAACTCCAAGATGACCATAATATGATGCATAAATGAGTGGAGTATTTCCATAATAATTCTTTGCTTCTTTATCAGCTCCAACTGAGATAAGATATTGAACAACTCCAAGATGACCATAATATGATGCATAAATGAGTGGAGTATTTCCATAATAATTCTTTGCTTCTATTAGCTCCAACTGAGATAAGATATTGAACAACTCCAAGATGACCATAATATGATGCATAAATGAGTGGAGTATTTCCATAATAATTCTTTGCTTCTTTATCAGCTCCAACTGAGATAAGATATTGAACAACTCCAAGATGACCATAATATGATGCATAAATGAGTGGAGTATTTCCATAATAATTCTTTGCTTCTTTATCAGCTCCAACTGAGATAAGATATTGAACAACTCCAAGATGACCATAATATGATGCATAAATGAGTGGAGTATTTCCATAATAATTCTTTGCTTCTTTATCAGCTCCAACTGAGATAAGATATTGAACAACTCCAAGATGACCATAATATGATGCATAAATGAGTGGAGTATTTCCATAATAATTCTTTGCTTCTTTATCAGCTCCAACTGAGATAAGATATTGAACAACTCCAAGATGACCATAATATGATGCATAAATGAGTGGAGTATTTCCATAATAATTCTTTGCTTCTTTATAGCTCCAACTGAGATAAGATATTGAACAACTCCAAGATGACCATAATATGATGCATAAATGAGTGGAGTATTTCATAATAATTCTTTGCTTCTTTATCAGCTCCAACTGAGATAAGATATTGAACAACTCCAAGATGACCATAATATGATGCATAAATGAGTGGAGTATTTCCATAATAATTCTTTGCTTCTTTATCAGCTCCAACTGAGATAAGATATTGAACAACTCCAAGATGACCATAATATGATGCATAAATGAGTGGAGTATTTCCATAATAATTCTTTGCTTCTTTATCAGCTCCAACTGAGATAAGATATTGAACAACTCCAAGATGACCATAATATGATGCATAAATGAGTGGAGTATTTCCATAATAATTCTTTGCTTCTTTATAGCTCCAACTGAGATAAGATATTGAACAACTCCAAGATGACCATAATATGATGCATAAATGAGTGGAGTATTTCCATAATAATTCTTTGCTTCTTTATCAGCTCCAACTGAGATAAGATATTGAACAACTCCAAGATGACCATAATATGATGCATAAATGAGTGGAGTATTTCCATAATAATTCTTTGCTTCTTTATCAGCTCCAACTGAGATAAGATATTGAACAACTCCAAGATGACCATAATATGATGCATAAATGAGTGGAGTATTTCCATAATAATTCTTTGCTTCTTTATCAGCTCCAACTGAGATAAGATATTGAACAACTCCAAGATGACCATAATATGATGCATAAATGAGTGGAGTATTTCCATAATAATTCTTTGCTTCTTTATAGCTCCAACTGAGATAAGATATTGAACAACTCCAAGATGACCATAATATGATGCATAAATGAGTGGAGTATTTCCATAATAATTCTTTGCTTCTTTATCAGCTCCAACTGAGATAAGATATTGAACAACTCCAAGATGACCATAATATGATGCATAAATGAGTGGAGTATTTCCATAATAATTCTTTGCTTCTTTATTAGCTCCAACTGAGATAAGATATTGAACAACTCCAAGATGACCATAATATGATGCATAAATGAGTGGAGTATTTCCATAATAATTCTTTGCTTCTTTATCAGCTCCAACTGAGATAAGATATTGAACAACTCCAAATGACCATAATATGATGCATAAATGAGTGGAGTATTTCCATAATAATTCTTTGCTTCTTTATCAGCTCCAACTGAGATAAGATATTGAACAACTCCAAGATGACCATAATATGATGCATAAATGAGTGGAGTATTTCCATAATAATTCTTTGCTTCTTTATCAGCTCCAACTGAGATAAGATATTGAACAACTCCAAGATGACCATAATATGATGCATAAATGAGTGGAGTATTTCCATAATAATTCTTTGCTTCTTTATCAGCTCCAACTGAGATAAGATATTGAACAACTCCAAGATGACCATAATATGATGCATAAATGAGTGGAGTATTTCCATAATAATTCTTTGCTTCTTTATTAGCTCCAACTGAGATAAGATATTGAACAACTCCAAGATGACCATAATATGATGCATAAATGAGTGGAGTATTTTCATAATAATTCTTTGCTTCTTTATCAGCTCCAACTGAGATAAGATATTGAACAACTCCAAGTTGACCATAATATGATGCATAAATGAGTGGAGTATTTCCATAATAATTCTTTGCTTCTTTATCAGCTCCAACTGAGATAAGATATTGAACAACTCCAAGATGACCATAATATGATGCATAAATGAGTGGAGTATTTCCATAATAATTCTTTGCTTCTTTATCAGCTCCAACTGAGATAAGATATTGAACAACTCCAAGATGACCATAATATGATGCATAAATGAGTGGAGTATTTCCATAATAATTCTTTGCTTCTTTATCAGCTCCAACTGAGATAAGATATTGAACAACTCCAAGATGACCATAATATGATGCATAAATGAGTGGAGTATTTCCATAATAATTCTTTGCTTCTTTATCAGCTCCAACTGAGATAAGATATTGAACAACTCCAAGATGACCATAATATGATGCATAAATGAGTGGAGTATTTCCATAATAATTCTTTGCTTCTTTATCAGCTCCAACTGAGATAAGATATTGAACAACTCCAAGATGACCATAATATGATGCATAAATGAGTGGAGTATTTCCATAATAATTCTTTGCTTCTTTATCAGCTCCAACTGAGATAAGATATTGAACAACTCCAAGATGACCATAATATGATGCATAAATGAGTGGAGTATTTCCATAATAATTCTTTGCTTCTTTATCAGCTCCAACTGAGATAAGATATTGAACAACTCCAAGATGACCATAATATGATGCATAAATGAGTGGAGTATTTCCATAATAATTCTTTGCTTCTTTATCAGCTCCAACTGAGATAAGATATTGAACAACTTCAAGTTTACCATTAGATGATGCACAGAATAGAGCTGTAAAACCATGTTTGCTCTTGATTTATTTATCACAGCCACATTCAATGAGAGATTTAACAAGTCTCAGATTTCCTTGTGAAGATGCATAATGAAGTACATTTTGACCAAAAAAGTCAGAATTTTGTTTTTTCCAAAGTTCTTCTTCACATGCTTTTTGCATCATTTTTTGATTTCCTTTTTCTGAAATTTCTTCAAAGAATTCGTAGATTTGATCGAAATCTTCAGAATCTTTAAGTTTGGAAATTTCCGAAAGAAATTCTTTTGGTAAATTGTTTCCTTCTTTCTCTTTGTGTTGAGAGTGAAGAGTTTGTATTTCTTTCTCGTTGTTTTCTTTTTCTTTTTGGATCAGATTTAAATCTGCTTGATGTTTTTCGATTTTATTTGTTGTAATGGATTGATCCTTTTGTAATTGTTCTAAAATGCCAATAATCCCTTTGAATATTCGCATCTTCATGTACTTTTGAACTGATTTAAGTGTTGAAATGGCATCTTGTAGGTTGTTTATTGAAATATTTGCATTTCGAGTGCAGATATACAATTTTCGTGCTGAAATTACAGAATGAGATTTCACAAGAAGAGAATTGAAGTCATCAGGTGTTAAATTCGCGAATTTCATGATTGATTTGATATCTTCTACTTCAAATGTGCTAAATAGATTATTCTCTTCGATATAATCTTTGATATGTGAGCCAATATATTCGTAGTTCCGAACAATTCCCTGACTCATTAAAATTTGTAAAGTTTTTTTTCCTTGTGTCACTTTTATTATCACATGGAAAAAATTTAGCAATCCTACAGTCATAAATAATATTTTGGTACCTAAGAATATACATTTGTATTCTTTGGCTAATGATTATGACTTTTTACAAAAATATTTGACACTTTACATGTCACCAGAGTTCGAAAATTATTTGGTCGGGGCACCAATTGTCCCCCAAGCGGCATCCCTAATTGGCAATATTATCTTCTTTATAATCATTCAAAAAATCGTAAATATGATCGATTTCCCCTGATCAAAAAGAATGATTGGACTTTCATAATGAAAGCAATCATAATTATGGGATATGAGAAACGTGTTAACGGTATCACAAATAAAAAAAAAAGAAATATGATGGTTGCGAATTTGAATTTATTTAATATTAAAAATCTTTTAGAAGAAGAATGATACTATACGCTTTTAACATAGAATTCTAACATGTGTGAATAAGGATGTCAATTCGGAAAATTGTTTTCATTTTAGGAGAATATAATTTTCCTTTTGGAAAATTTAAAAAGTGAGACGCGCAGGATTCGAACTTTTTTAAAAGTTGATTTAAATATATTCTAGTGTGATTTCTAAGGATAATATCATATTTAAAATAAGAATATACTAGTTTAGGTGGTATAATTTTTTCGATAAATTTGAGAGCATGTACGTTTAGGGCATCAAAAGTGTCAATTCGCTCAGCGAAAGCTGAGCTAGCTTCGTTCTCGAAAGAATAGGGAAGGAGTGAAAGAGAGTGATACAGATGTTGACACATTCATATCATTTCAACAAATTTTGATCAAATTGAAATTCAATGAAATTCAATTCACTTCATATCCTTCAGTCAGTACATTGACATCCTTCTACATCACAATGATAACTCGTACATCAATAGTTCTACAACTGACTCAGAAAAAACAAGATTTTTACTTCCAGCTTACAGCTTTTAAAAAGTTTCGATGAAAAAAATCACTCTACTCTTGTTTATCGATATGTTGTGATAGTAGGTAAACGTATTCTTATCGATATTAATAAAAATTTTTTTCCTTCATATGAAGAAACATTTTGTTCTCCATTTGATGCTGAGTCTAAATCTCGATTTTTGAATTTTCTTCTTTCCAAATTTCTTTTTTCCAAATTAGAAGTTTAATTCAAATTTTCAATAGTTTATATAGTTTCTCAAACCGTCTTAGATTTTCTTACTTTTTGGGGATTTTCTCTCAAAATATACAAAAATAGTAATATCAATACATGTGTCTAATATACTTTAAAACCATCGTGATAAAATTCAAAAACGAAGAGTTCTTCTCTCCAAATTTTTTTCAAAATCAAAAAAATGAGATAAAAAAATACGTTTGGAAAATTCATTTTTAGCATTTTAGGAATTTTCTCACTTTCCTTCCAAATTAACATCCTTAGTGTGAATGTTTCGGTTCTGTTTACAGAAGGTAAAGACATCTGAGATTAATGTTTTAGGAATAATTTGTAAAAATTCATCTGGAATTTGTGTCGTTATATAAGACAGTTCTGATTTTAATAGAGAAATTCAATAAAAGGTTGTGTGAAATTTCACAAAAAAAAATAGATTAGGAAATGAAGAAATTAAACTTTCATAATTTCAACCTTACTACATGTAGAGAAGTGTGCATAAGATAAATGTTGATTATCTAAAATCAAAAAATTGTGAAGTCGTTCAATTTGATCGGTTTATTTTATGTGATCTTGGAAGGTAATTTAGATGTATGTTGAAAATAATTTTATTTATAAAAGTAAAAATATTTGACATGAATAAATATACAGTTTAGATTTTATCATGATTATTTGTTATTTTGTTAAGGGCATGGTATATAGGAAAGTTTCTCATAGCATTGTTATTCTATTCCCTTCAAATGAAAATTTAGTTGTTTCAATTAACCAATCAAATAAAATCTGTACTTGTACTATATGTCTATACATAAACAAAATTTTATTCGATGAAGTAAATTTGTTTTCTCTCAAAACTAATAATCAATTAAGGCTCTATTGAAATAATTGAATTAAGATTAAGAGATTTTAGTTATTGGTATGATTTGAAATACAATGTAATTTGGTCTATCTTGATAAAATTTTAACATTAACGGAAAATCTCTGAAAATACGAAAATAACCAACGTGCTTAAAGCCAAACTTTAAAATAGTGATCAATATCATATATTTAATAAATGTTAGATTTTGAATACAACCCTGACATTTCAAAAATTTTATTCTATTCAAATAATTGACGGATTTACAAGTATTTAAACATTTTTTTGATAATGATTTCAAGAACTACTGATGTCCTCTTTATGAGTGAAATGAATGAATGGAAAACTAAACACTCAAATCTCTCTATCCTTCCTCGACTTGGTTTACCCTTCGCCAATTTTCACAGCAGAGAAGATCCTGTTGACGAATTCATGGATGTTGATTCTCTTGTAGCCGGAATTGCAGATAAACTTACAGAAGATATATTCCAGGACTTCAAAATTGAAAAATCACGTGAAGCCAAAAGAATTGCTCATACAGCTTGCCAGCCTCGCAATTCTGCAAATATTTACAATGCGACACAACTTATTGACAGAAAGCTTGTCCAAAGACGCTTCATCAGTCCAACAAAATCTTCAATCGCAAACGACGCAATCTCTAAGAAAATTCTACAGGCAAATGCTTATAAGCTTCGCCCAGCCCTTTCTAAGAGAACTGTCTAATCATCTTAGACTTTAGTCCGTTATTGATCCCTATATACTTTATTGCGATTTGTAATGCGATTATTTTTTAGTCGCATTTGTTGTTTTAGTATTTGTGCGTATCATGTAAATTGTTTGTGTTTTATTTAAGAATTTCAACTTTTTTTATGTTTAAAGTCTTAAATTTAGATACATTTCTTACGTTTATATTTAGTATCAAATCTCTTAATGTATTTGTGTGTATTTCATCAAGTGAGAACTGGGTTCATGGCAATAAAGATCTAAAAACATATGTATAACTAAAATTTTATTACATAATTAACAATTTGCGGTTACAAGAACGTACAAAAAGTAATTTACATGGTTTAAAATTTAGATACAGATTTGTATGCCGAAGAATTACTCGGTAAACTTATTTTTTCATATAAATGTGCTCCAATAAGGAAAATCTTATAAATTATTGCTTGGTAAACAGGCAAGAACAAACAAAAGACAAACAAAGAAGCGCAGATTGCGAAATAAACTTTTCTTTGGCAAAACTTCATGACGAATGTTATGAAGAAGCCCAAAAGAGATGTTAATGTTCTCACTAATGAAAGACAACGAACTCTGATATCTGCAGGAATGTCTTCTTTCCTCATTGTAATTATGACAGGAGTAATCATTCCATCGAAAAGTCCAAGGTTGATAGTAACGAAATACATGACAAAGTCATTTGTTGGGAAGAAGAAAGCAGTGAAAAGATCAACAGCAAATCCTATTAAAATAATAAAGCGGAGTTGCTTATTAGAAACGTATTCTAAGATCACGGAAGAGACTATTGTGCCTAATGTTCCCATTGCATTGAATGTAGACATGATGACAGAAAATGGAAGTTTTTGATTTTGGAAATTTGAAGCGAAAAGTGATTTAAAGAAGCTAATTGTAAATATGTATATTATGTCGTAGATCATTAACGATATTGTTCGCATTGGTACTTGTGAAACTTTGATATTCGATTTTTCTTCTTCTTTCTTTGGTTTTTCGCTTGGAGAACCTGTCAAGAAGTGCATAACAAGAATAGATGGAATGATGATGGCAAGGTAGTATCCGGCCAATGACCAAAAAGTTGGTATCAAGCCACGGTTTGCAATGAAAACAGAAATCTTGTTTGTGGTAATCAAATCCAGTACAAATACGAAAACCATGCGATAATTTAACAATATGCCTCTATCATTGACTGATAGTTCGTATTTGATTGTTAAATCAAGAAGCCAATCATCTAACCAAATTTTTGTAGTCATATATCCTAATCCCCAGAAAAATTTGCTCGTATAAGCAAATACAGGGTTTGGAGAGATCAATATAGCGAATATTGCCAAAAATTTGAAAAAGCAGCAAAATGTTAAAGAAATACGCGTTCCTAGTAAGTTTAAAATGTATGTGCATAAAAGTGATCCAACTACTGATGAAATTTCGTAATATAGACAAATAGTGGTTATTTCATCGTTTGAGAAATGTCTAAATTTCCAAAATGGATTGAAGTATACTGCTGCAATGTTATCGGCTGCTGTCATTGCAAAGAAGACGAAATAATAAACAATTTGTACTTTAAGAAGGTTTTTGCACTGTGGTTTTGCACCTTTTGAAGCTTTAAAGATCATTGATGTTGTTATAAATAGAGCCATCGTATAAAAAACATTCTTTATGAATGGAAATGATAGCTCCATTATTGAAAACTAAATCTATGTATTGAAATTTTGAGAGTGATTTTTGTATTAATTATTAGAATATTATGTCGAATAATTTGCTTAAATTTAGTGATAAAATTTTAAAGTTAAAAAATTGAATATCAATTAAAGTGGATAGTGCGCTTTAAAAAATGTGATTATTAGCTTATTTGGTGTAGTCATTATTTATCCAACGATATAGGAGATCACAATTTTTGAGCCAAAACGATCAATCGGTGGGTAGTTCATCAACAAACGCTGTGTGGTCTTGTGCAGAACATTGTTTATCGAAGTCTAATGCCTATAAGTTTAAGACTGCATCCCATAATTTTCATTACTTTTCAAACGAGTTGCAATTGCCATTAAATTTTCTGCAGTATACATTCGAGAAATGGGTGAAATCGTCTAACTGGAGCGAGTCTATTACGTTCATACTTCCATTATTCCGAATAATTTAAAGGATTCATATTTTATCACCCTCAAGCATAAGATACCAAAATCAAACTAGAATTAACTTAACTTATCCATTTCAATTTATTATTGCTTTTCCATTTTTTGATTTATTTAATTATTTTAAGATATTTTGAAATTGAAAGCTCTAAATTGGATAGAATATTTAAATTCATTTTCTGATACACCGAGGGAAGTTATTCCTAATAGATATTTAAGAATTTCTGAAGATATTTTATTGATGATTTTCTTGAATGAGTCTTCAGTCAGATTTTCCAATATATTTTCAGTGTTTTCGAATAGTGTATAAATGATAAATGTATATTTTAAAAATCTAATTTTTCTTCCAAATTTCGACGTTGCGATTTTCAACTTTTCAAGAGTAAAATACTGCATTCTATTTTGTATTAGATCATACAACATTTCATCAAAAATCAGAAATAAAATAATAGAAATGTCGGCGGAAGATACTCACTCTCAAGTCATTCTATATGACGCAAGTGAGTTTTGCCTCATTCTATTAGTGAAACCTCCTGTGAAGGAGACAACCTACCTGTTTTTCATTCATAAGATAACAGGATCTCTCGATTTTTCAGGAATGGAAAATCATTCAATTTTTCATAACATAAATGCAGCAGAAGGTTACATAGATGTAGTTTATAAAGCAAAAGTAATCGCTCAAGGTATAGGACTTACAGGAATGGTTAGAATTGGTTCACGTTTATACATAAATATCATCACAGATGCAGTTCCAGTCGCTTATTTTGCAAACAAACACACGATATATAAAGTTACAAAGACCCAACCACTTTGGTTCCCTCTAACTTATTACGCAAAGCTTACTGATGATGATTTACGTCGTAGCCAAAGAATTGAAGATTTTCCGATAACAGATTTTCATATGTTCTGCGATACATTAGATTTAACAATGACTTGCGGTCATAACGTTTCGAAACCAGATTTTATTTGGAATAAATGGCTTGCAAAACCTTTTTCAGATCTTGGTGTAAGTGATGCATGTGTTTACTTATATCAAGGTACTGCTGTTTCGGAAATTCTTAACTTTGACAATACATTAAATCGATATACCTTAATTACCTTACGTTCTTCAGAGCATCCAGGTACAAGATACACAGCGCGTGGTATTAATCAGCTAGGTTATGCAGCGAATGAAGTTCAATGCGAATTAATTATTGAAAATTCCGAAGGAAAATTATTTAGTCACGTTTTTCGAAGAGGAACAGTACCTGTTGAATGGCAGACTCTTGTAGGATCCGCTCTGCCAACTGCATCCCTCAAAGTTCAAGATAACAGCGATACATATTCTCCAGATTACTTCAAACGCATCAGAAAAGAATTTGCGTCACAGGATTTCAAAGGTTTCGTATGTGTCAATCTATTACATACCGATCCGAAGCATTCCGAAAGAGCTTTATGCGATGCTTACATCAGAGCTATCGAAGGAGTGAAAAAAATTGAAGGATTGGCCGATACCGAGTATATTGAATTTGACTGGCATGCAAAAAAGAAGGAATTGGATACTCCGAAGACAGTTGAAGAATATTGGGGACTTATCCTTGCAAAAATCCATGAACCAACGTTTACTTGCATGGAAGTTGAAGATTTACAACCTCTCCAGACTACTTCCGAGGAGAAAACCCTTCAATTTACGAACGATTCCGAATTATCAAAAATGGAAATGCATACAACAGCATTTCAACAGCATGTCATCAGAGTAAACTGCATGGATTCGCTTGATAGAACCAATGTCGGCTGTTTCTTCTATCTATGGCTTGTAATTTTCAAGTTTTTGTACAAAGAAATTCCAAATCAGCTGTCATACAGCAAAATTTTGGGCCAAGACCTTCACCTCAGGCATTTCCTGGCCAACGCATTCGTAGACATAGGCAATGTCGTGTCTACAATGTATACAAACACTGATGCCTGCATGACCAACATATTCAGAGAAATTGGTAACATCGAAGTCAAAGCACAATCAGATGGTGCCATCGCCATGTCCAGGAGATTCCAAAACTTCTTGAAAGACAAGTTCAGAGTCAAAATTATTAAATTATTTGTTGGTTTCGACTACGAACGCGTTTTACACGGTTTGGACTACGGATCAGAGCTCATATGTGCATCAGGATATCCAGGATGCTTCTTAACACCTTATCCAGGCAAGTTAGAACAATTAAATATTCTTGATAATCTTATTGATTACAAACCATCATTTCTCAAGTTGCAAAGGCTTGGCGACCAAACACAGATCAGATTGCTCCTCTCCAGACCTGTTTTCCTCGATTCAATCGTTATGAAATCGACCGCAGAATTTCCTCCATGTTTTGTATCGTTCGAAGGCGGTTTGACACATGGTTCCATGGTAACTCTTTCATCACGATTTGCTTTTCCTGTTGTTCCTCAACAAGGATCCTTTGTTTACCGTTTAACACCCGAATTCATGAACGGAAAACAAACATTAGTCAGAATTTTGATTATAAACATTTGGACGATGCCACAACCAGAGAATTCCCAAGAGAAGCCTCCAAACAGGAAGTTGACGTTGTCTAACATATTCGTGTTCGGTTCGACCAAACAGAAAAGGTGCGAACAAAAGTGGTTCCCACAGACATATACGAATTTGGATTTCCTTGATTTGATGAAGCCAAAGAACTGGCCGAAAATCACTGATACATCCAGCCTTGATGAAACAATTCTCAGCCATACTGAAGCCACCTTTGAGAACGCAATTCTCCTTGAGTATGCAAGATTACACCACAAACACTCGAAGCTAGGATTGATGGCACAATTGGCATATTTCGGACAAAATCCGTCAGATTATTTATTAACGAATTTCAAACCGAAACCTATCGGTTTTGATGTTTCGAAGCATAATTGTAATAACCAAGGCAAAGAACAATGGAAATGCGGATGGTGTGGCATGACATTTTGTGAGAATTGTTCTAAGATGCATACAGAAAAGAAATCTATATTTTTTGATGCAGATACAAATATTTGTAACAAATGTCATGAAATTTACAAGAAACGGAAAGAAAAACTGAAGAATTTACAGTGTTTCTATCATTACTACACTCGATTGCATTATCCAATACAAGATGAATGGGAAACATGGTTCAAACCACGTCTAAACACTACAAACAGGTTCTTGGAATTTCCAAGAGTCAGTTTCATTGACGCAGGAGATATGAACGGTTTCCATGATGGTCCTGAATGTAATTTGATATTTATCAATGACCAAAATTTCGAAATAAAAGGTCAGCATTCTTTCCAATTGACTCTTGGAGCAATCCACGTTATCGACTCCATAGATATCGATGCAAGTGATGATGCAAACATTGTTTTCCAAGTAGTTGGAAATGAAGATAACATCCAAACTGATATAGAATGTAAATTCGAACCTGGTGTCAAATCCAAAAAAGTGTCAATGTGTACATGTTTGATGATTGTCTATATACACAGCGGCTCATTAAGGAAGATCAGTTTGCACACAAGCCAGTACATAAAGAAGATTTTCTCTGCAAGTCCTGATCCGAATTCCAACAATTATTTGGCACTTCCTGACCCTGTTTCAAAGAGAAATAACTTGAATTACGCGGAAAATTCAATATTCATAAAGTTCTCGAGACCACAAACGGTCAATGGAATATTGTGTGAGAAGTTCAACGCAATTGGATCATTGATTGTTTATTTCAACGGAGATGTTGAATCAAGTGGTGAAATTGAGTACTTTAACTTGCCTAGCGGAGTTTCTGATTACGCTGTGTACATGGTAAAGGAGAAGAAGAATGTCACAAGTATCAAAGTATTCGCTGTTGATACAAGAACTGAATTCAACAACGGAAAAATTTCATTCTTTTAAATTTTATGTTTTATGTTTATTAATAAAAATCGTTTTACTTATTTCTTGTTATAATTTTTACCTTTAATTTTGATAAAAGTAGTAAAATGAAATAAAATTTCACAAAACTTCGCCACCAATTCAACTCATTGAATGAAAATCGCTCAATTTTCTGGTTAAATGTAAATTATTGAGACCTAAAGCATAAAAATGAGTTTAGATCTTTATTGAATTTAAAACTAAATATTGTGATGGAATAATCGATTCAATCAATCATTTATCTAGTACACTTCTTATTGAAGTCATTAATTTCAGGTAAACTCAAATTATTAACAAAAATTTCATTTGAATTCAGAAAAAATCATATTGATTTATTGAGCAAATATGTTGTTTGGCCAAAGCTAAATAAACGTGATAGATTTTAACAAGAAGATATATCAAAATTTTGCGAAGTGACGATGGAGAGCAATATTGTCACTTTTTTGTGTTAAGAGACACACAAGGTAAAATCTTGATTTTATGGAGCCCTACGTGTTTCTTTACCCAGAACAGCACATTGAAGAAATCCAAGCTGCTTTTGAGAAGTTTAAGTCTCAAGTAGAGCTATTTACAGAACAACCTGGCGAAATTAATCAAGATTTTATCAGATTAATTTACGACTTATCGCATGTCGTCCACCATCATGGCTTCGGCGGTGAGTTTTTAGAGAAATGTTTCGCATTTCTTGAGACACATCCAGAATCTCTTTCACCAGACGCGAGATCTTCGTTGGTCCAAGCGATTATTGTTCTTCACAACCACAAAGTCATCGATACTGTTGACCTTATCGATCACTTTGTACCACTATTCCGCTTAAACGACAAAAACGTACGAAGAACCATATATGGACACTTCTTCAACAGAATTCCATACCATCAGACACCACAGATCAAGAAAGAATTACAGAAATACGTTCAGCATGAAGACCCAAGAGTTTCCTTCAAGACACTTAAGCTCATTATTGATATTTTCCACAAAGAAAATAAAGAAGATCCACAAACAATCAATTTCATCGCTCGCTGCATAGATCTCAAGAACCCACGACTTGTAAATGCTATCGTTTCATTCTTCTTGGACCCTTACACTCCAAAACAGGAATCTTTGATCGATGAAGACGATCTCGAAGAGATGAGACGTGAAGCAGAGCACCAAATCCTTATCAACGGTAAGACAAAGAAGAATAAGAAGCAATTGGAGAAGATTAAGCACATGAAAGCTTCAATTCCTCAAGATCCAGTTCAAGTTTTGGGTTCTCTTGATGATCCACTCAAATTAACAATCAGACTCTTCTCATTACTATCACAGCCAGAGCATGTTAAGATTTTTAAAACCAGAGAAACGCAATTACGTGCTATGGAACTTATATCAAAGTTAATCTTCCAATTCTCACTCGATTTCGACAAATTCTTTACATGGTCCGAGCGTTTCATCCGTCCTAACTATGAAGATATTACAAAATTGCTTTCTATCGTTGCATCCGCTGTTCATTCAACAACAAACGTCGATACAGTTGCAGAAGTTTGCAGAACTATTGCCAATAACTTCGTGGTCGATCATCTCGATGAAGAAGTACAAATTGTCGGTATGAATACGATCAGAGAAATATGTGCAAGAAATCCACACGGCATGACACCCGAATTACTCGAAGATCTTACAGCCTACAAGAAATCAGATAGAAAGGGCGTAGTCATGGCCGCTCGTGGCATTATCCAAGTTTTCAGAGAAAATAGACCAGATATCTTACCGAAGAGAGAGCGTGGAAAGCCAACAGACGATGCAGAAGAGCCTCTGGCGTTCGGAGAACAGAGATCTTCCAACGTTCTTGGAGAACTTGGCGAAATCGCGATGACCAGATTATTAACAGACGAAGAGATCGAAAAGATCAAGAAAGGCAAAGCAGATGAAATCGGAGATGATGATAATAACCCAGATGATTCGATTATCGATGAAACTACATTGACAGAAGGAAGTAGAGTCCACAAGAGGACAAAAGAAGAAATAGTTGCTGCAGCGAAGGAAGGAAAGCCAGAGAAACACTCTTTCCACAACAAGAAAGAGGATAAAACAGCTGGTTTCAGTAACAAGGACAAGTTGAAGTTCAAACCTTTCATGCTCACAAGATTTAGACAGGAGTCAGGAAGGATAAAGAACAAGAACCTCAGCGCTGTTCAGAAGGATAAGAAGAAGAGGGAAGGAAAGCTGAAGACCCTCAAGATGAGATAGAGTTGAATAGAATAAAGTATATATATATTTTTAGAGTGCTATTATGAAATTGAACATATATAGTGTAAAATAAATAATTTATTTATTTTTTTTTACATACTTGAGATCTAACATATATAAATAGGAGCTTAAATATCTTATTTAGATCTAACACACATATATAGTGTAAAATAAATAATTTATTTCTTTTCCTCCCTTTCAATGAAATTGAAAGAACTTTGGAGGAATATATATATACATGTTTAACTACTAGCTTTGCAAAAAGTCCATTAGCATTTCATCCACTCTCGTATGTGTTATCAAAGTCTTTTACAAAATTTAAGGGACCACTGCACGGCCAAACAAGACCTATCGCCTTTTAAAAATCTTCATCGAGTTGATGTTTTACTAAGGCTAAAAATGCAAAAAACTCGGACTTCATGCAGAAATGCAATTACTGCCATATTCTTTTGCTGATTTAATTAAAGAAGATGTTCGAGACCAAGTAGCATATAAGACAGAAATAAGAAAGAGGCATGAATATTTCTTATACTCCCATGTATCACGTTCTTACGATGATGTACCTAAAGTATTTTGCACAGAGACCTTGTGGAAAGCTAAACAGTTTGAATTCAGAGCTGCATCACATAGAGATTTTGGATATTGTGACATATTCAAAGATGCTATGATACATGGTTTCATTCCAGAACATAAAGGGAAGTTGTCAGATGAAGAACTTTTAGAGATAGAAAAATTTGTTAACAACGCAAAACCAGAAGATTTCTTAATATACAATCCAGAAACAGAAGGAATGGTCCCATATAGTTGGTGGAATGAACACCGATTGAACGTTGCAATCAGAGACTTGTATGTCCCAAATTGGGGAACACAATACATCGGAAAAGGACCATTAGTAAGGCATTGGTATTCTAAAAAGAAAAAATATCAATGGTTTATAGATATTTTAAATGGCAGAGATTAAAAAAAATTAAATATTTCTATTATTGCTGAATTTTCACTTGCATTTGGAAAAATGTACTCTAAATTTGCTTAATGAGTTTATAAAAGTAAATGTTTGGTATGATACATGCATTTGGAAATTCAATTGAAACGAAAAAAAAAAGATATTGAATCTGGGTATGATGATTATGGTGATGTTTCATTTGATGGTTATGCTATTGCGCAGGAAAATCCTTCTCATGGAGTTATGACTAAAAAAAACATTTATTGAAAAAGATTGAAATCTTGATATAATTATGTATTGAAAGAAGTACAGAAAGTAAATATTCATCCATGGAATTAGTAAAGAGTGGAATGGTAAGAATCTTTCCCAAGGGGTAAAAAAAAATTATATCCTTTTTTTCATTCAATTTACAGTTTGGTTTCTACTAAATGTTTCTTGTTTGCAAATTAAAAACATACTCTGTGCTTATCTTATTAAAAAGGTTTGATCATTAATATGAATTCTCAAAATTACGAACTATTTTAAAAAGATGTATGAAAAAGGATTTCCATGAGTAATATGTTTTGAGTATAATTCCAAATATCATTTAGTCATTTTTCATTTGAATCCAATTAATTATTGGATAATTGATTAAAACTATTATCAAGAATATGTTGTAACATAGGAATTTGGGTATGATCATACTTGGAACTGAAAAAAATACCATAATTATTTTGCGAGAGAATAAAAGAGTTAGATCATTGATTGAAAGAGTTGAGAATGGGAATGAATATGGTAAGTACAACATGTGTTACGTCAAAATTGGATAATTTTAATGGGTATCTTACCCAGTAATGGATTATAAGATTGTCAACAATGTCATTATAGATATCTATTAGGATATCGAATCGAGGTTTAAATGAACTCACTGAACTGAAATCTAATGTGAAAAAAAAATCAAAAAATTAAGGGTCCACTGTAAAAATTGAAAGTCTCTCAAAATTGAGAGGCGATTTGCAAATAATCATTATCGTCTTTTTTCGAAAATCCACTTTTCCTAGTGTTCTGATTAATATTTTGTGAATGTAACAATGAAGTATATGTTTTAATAAGATGATAATATATTCTATCACTTCAAATCACATAAAAATTGCAAAATCAGCGAGTTTTATAAGAACATGATTTTTTCCTATTTTTTTGCTTCTGGATGCGTGTTTTGAAAAATAGATATTTTCGAATTTTGATTTTATTATAAGTATGAATTTTATATTAGGAATTTTTTGACCTATTTCCAATCATTAATTCTTCAGTTTTTCTAGGAATTAAATTGAGAAGAAATTAGGAAATTCGCTTTAATGCCATTACATCCTAATATTGTGATGCATGTAGTTTATATTTAAAGAGGCTAATGTCGGAATATCGTGCATTTTATAAAAAATTCAAAGAATTGACAATTGGATAGCACAAATTTAATTCTCCAGACAAAGTATTATTGCTTATATATTCAAAACATTATCCTTAGTTTTGAAATGTTGGCAAAAAATTTTTGTGTTATTTTTTGTGTTTCAGCATAAATTATGTATTTACTTATGAAAGATAAGCATTTTATTCATTATCATAAAGATATACCATAACAAATTGATAACATTTAAAAAAAAGTGTATTTTAGTGGGTATTATTCTGGCCAATGCCCATTTTTAAACGATTTAATATTGACCATATCAATAGCCGACTCAATATAAAAATTTAGATATTATTTTTTTCATTATTCAAACTTTGATAAATTTTAGTATAATGAATGATTTTGTTTCGTGTATGATACAGAAATGAAAAGCTTAATTAATATCATTTTGCATTTTTTCAAGAATGTTAGAGTACATCTACATTAAAAAATCGGATTCGAATTGCGATACTGCATCAAATTGTTGCACATCTGATAAGGATCTCAAAAGAGTAAAGTTAATTTTTTTGTGTTTTTTTAAGTTTTGGGTCTTAGTAAAACACCATCTTGAGCAATATTTTTGGGATGACGATAGGCCTTATTTGGCCTTACAGTGGACCCTTAATCGTGGTCGTTTAAAATATTAGAGAAATAAGATTATCGGATGATGGAGTTTCTAAATTAAAAATAGAAATTTGTTCTGCAATTTTAAACCTATGACAACCATTCAAATCTGATGCGACCAAAGTAAAATCAATAATAAGAATGATTGAATATAATTTAAGTATGGCAAAATAAACGTTGAGAGTTCAGAGAAGAATAATTTCAATGGCGTATATATTTTTTGAGAGAATTGAGATATTTGAAAGAGTTACTTGGAAAACGATGGAGGAAATTTTTATTGATTCTTCATAAGAACATTATGATAACAAAGTTGGTATTTTTATGAAAAATGATTTGGAAATCTGCATTGTTGCTATTTTTAATAATCAATAAGTAATCGTTTAAAATATTCACAAGTTAAATTCAATCGCATAGACTTCATAAAATCAAACAATTGCAAGATTTGAGAAAATATATCGTTAACTAAAATGGTATGTTGGAAGATAAAATGACTAAATTATCTGAAATTAAAATAATCATCTCGCTCTCAAAACTTCAAACGAATATATCTCAATCTTGATTGATGATTTTATTTTTCTTAGATCCGATTTTTTATTTCGCATTTAGTCTATAATATTTTACTAAACGAATATAACCATTTTTGAAAATCAGATTTTTGAAACAAACTGATTTCGTATCTTTGTTATGAGTTATTATATCCTAGACGAAAAGATAATTCAGGTTTCACAAATTCGAACAATTGATTGGAAATCAGGCAATCATTAATATTATTAATATCTTTCTATATATTAATATTTCTTTATTTTTAATTTCAAATAACAATCAAAATATTCAGATTAGTCTCAATTTTGGTTAAGCATCAATTATTATCTTCTCAATTTTTATATTACCCATATTCGCTCTCTTTCTTGCTACTGGAATTTCTTTAGATGTTAAAAGGATATCTGACAGAAAACAAACAGCCCTCGAGCACTATGGCTTCGAACAAGGTGGAAAATTCGAGCTTCATCTCTATCTTCCGATTGGCATGAACTGCACACTTTCACTTTTAACAAGAGAAGGCTTTAATTACGTAAGGAATAGACATGTTAATCTATGTGAGAAACCAGCTTCAATAGGAAATGTCTCCATGTCTAACATTTCAGATCAAATTACTTTCGTTAATTGGACTGGTCAAATTTCCAAACCAGATATTTATAGACCTATTGTAACCATATGTTCAGCTGAAGTTCAGGCCTACTCGATTACCTATAAAGCTTTTAATCCGATTTCTCACATTGATTCAAGATTTCTGAAAGCTCCATTTATTTCAGAGATATTCGCTCTTCTATTCCTTTTCTTTGCTGTTGTTGGTGTACTCAATTGGGCTTTACATCCTCAATTTTTGATTCCAGTTTTGATTTCTAATACACTTACATCAATATCAGCAGCACTTTTGTTTACCTCATACTATATATATTACACGAAATTACCTTTCCAACAAGAAGTGTCATTAGGACTCAGACTCATCTGCTCGTTATTTTTAAGTCTGACAGTTATCCTTTCCCTTATAACCGGCCATATGACAGCTTGCGGGTTCTCAATTATCTCACTCGATCTTCATACGAAGTCAGCAATTATCAACATAATTACCACCTTGATTATGGGTGTTTCTCTATTTATCCTTGACCTCCATATCAGTCTTGCAATCAGTCTCACTGCTGTTTTCGTTGCAACTGGAGGAGTATATAAGAATTTCCGAAAAAGTGACACCTAAAAAGTGACACTTTCGATAGGGAGTAACACTTAAAAAGTGACAATTTAAAATTCACAATAAATAAAAATAATAAATTTTTTAGTCTATTAAATTATTCTTTTCATTGAAATTCTCCAAAAATTCTTCGAAATGTTCTAAAATATAACCTGGAGAATTATAACAAAATTCATTAATTTCTAACATATACGTATCTAACAATTCATTTGGAATTTCAAACGATCTTAAATATGTAATTGAATTTTGTATCTTCTCATTTATTTGAGAAAGTTTTTCTTCAGCATTTTCCAATAAAAATCTTAATGGATTCAAATTGGCTTCTTGATTCTGAACAAAATTTAATACTTGGTATAAACGTGATTGAACTTCTCTTTTCAATTTTGTTTTATAATCTGTCAATCGAGGCTCGCGAATTCTAATTGAAGGAATAAAACCTCTTTGAAGTAAATCGTTTTTAATACGATAAAAGTAATTGGGTGCAACTTCTTCTAAAAGATTTTTGACAAAAACATCAATTCTTTGATTTTTAACGCAGCCAAAATCGTGATATTTTATCTTTTTAAATAAAGATTCAGAAACGTTATTCACAACGGTTAATTCATTTGGTCTGGCAGCGGCTATCCACTGTTGTTTATGAATGTCCCACTGACGTGTAAAGTATTGATTAAATTCCAATTGATCTTGAATTTTATCAATAATGTGCTCTTTATACATTTTTGCAGCATCTTCTTCTGTGCAATCACGATAATAACATAAAATGTTCATAAATTTTTCGACTTCTGATCTAATCTCTTCATCATTTATCTTTGAGAGATTCTTTTTAAGTGCGCGTATTACATGTAGCGCGCACCAAAAGATATTGCACTCCGGAAATGAATTCCTAATCCCGTTGAAAATGTTTAGTGCACAGTCAGACATGATAAATTCAGGTTCTGTGTGAGTTGTTTCAAAATATTTACTTAAGCAAAAAGAAATATTTTCACTATTATCTGGATATATTATAAAATAACACAAAGGGATAGAATGAGTATTAGCAAATTTGGTAGCTAATACATAAAAAGGAAATCCATGAATAATTAATTTAAACGTAGAGTCTAAGTGATAAATTGGTGGTTTTTCATGAATTTGAGAGATCATATCATTATCAGAGTAAATAAAAACCAATTTGTCTGGAAAATCAGTATCTTCACCTTGAATGTCAAAATAAATAAGGTCATCATGTTGATCTTCCCATTGATTAACATAGTTTTGTAAAGATTGAAATTGATTTAAAGATATGTCTGGTAAAGATCTCATAAGATCTTTTTGTTGTAAATAATATTTCAATTGATTGATTGCAGTTTGTTTCATAGTCATGTGAATACAAGTATGATCTTTAGGTATTTCAAGCGTTTTGTTGACTTCTTGTGTTGCATTAAGTGGACTTCCGTGATTCATGAGAAATTTTTTAATCCAAGCACGGTAAGTACCACTTGTAGGTGTATTTTTATGTTGTGGTGGTGGTCCTGAGTGAATATGAGTTAAGTTTGCAGATTTAAAAATGTAATTGTCGAAATTTTTAATAAATTTAAAGCCTGCTGGGCAGCCTTCGTATTCGCATCGGTGGTAGATTAATACTCCTGTTCCAATTGATAGTTTTTGTGGGTCTTTGACAAATCTTATGTTACCATGCAGCTCTGCAGCTATAACAAAACGAGAATATTCTAAATATCCTATGGCTTGATCAACCTCGCATGGAGGATCGGGTGGAGGATGTTGCATTGAGCAGCAAAAAGGAAAAATAAAATTGAAAACTCACATTGAAAAAATAACGGTTTAATAGAAAATATTTTTTTTCTTCTGAAAAAGAATTATCTTTGAGTATCTAAATTGGGATAAAGGATATAGAATAGATAACTAGTACTTAATATATGATACATGTACACGAAATGGAAGAATGTGTACTAAAAGAAAGAGAAATTTTAGCTTAATATTTTACATACGAATCAATTATCTTTGGTTAAAAGGTAGAATTGTTGGCTATGATGTACTGATTCATGATCAGTACATCATAGCCAACAATTCCTTATACAAAATTCAAAAACTTGGGTGCAATCAGAGATTGCACCCAAGTTTTTGAACTTTCTTGAGGGAATTAAAGGGTGAGAGATTTATAGTCTATCTATATATCTCCCACCCTCTAATTCCCTCCCTGACAGCGGGAAACTTTGTCTGAATGTTAAACTATTCAGACAAAGTTTCCCACTGTTTGCGAAGGAATTGTTGGCTATGATGTACTGATTCATGATCAGTACATCATAGCCAACAATTCCTTATATAAAGTTCAAAAACTTGGGTGCAATCAGAACTCTGATTGCACCCAAGTTTTTGAACTTTCTTGAGGGAATGGAAGAGTAAGAGGTATACATTATGAATATATACCTCTTACCCTTCCATTCCCTCTGACAGCGGAAAACTTTGTCTGAATGTTAAACTATTCAGACAAAGTTTCCCGCTGTCAGCGAAAGAATTGTTCCATCTGGTGCATAGAGTGTGAATCTATGCACCAAATGGAGCAAGTCCCTCGCGAAATTGCCAAAACTTGCGTCGCATTTCAAAGATTGTGACCCAAATTTTGGCGATTTCTAGTAGAGATGGAGTATTTTGAGTCACTGACCTATATGCAGTGGCTCAAAGGGCTCCATCTCTACTTTGAAGCAAGGAAACTTTCCTCGAAATTTTGATAATTTGAAGAAAGTTTTCAAGCAATTAACAAAGGATTACTCGCTATGAGGTAAAAATTCTAGATTTTCACCTCATAGCGAGAGCTTCCCTTTCATTGCTTGAAAACTTTCCCCAGCTTCAAAATTGGGGAAAGGGCTGTAAAGTCGACTCCGATACCAGCAGGTACCAGAGTATTTAAAAGAGAAGCCCTCGTACGAGTTTCTATGAAGACCTTCTCATTCAAGAAGATCTTAATAGAAAATCGTACGAGGGCATTGGAAACTCGCGTCTGGTACATGTTGGTACCAGAGTGTTTGAGATTTGAAGACTCTGGTACTAACATGTACCAGAATTTATGATGAATTTAAGATGGACCATTATAAAATGGTAGCGGTTTGTTTCAAAAAATTTAAATGAGATTTGCATAGATATAGATTATATGATTTATACATATGAAAAATAATATATAAAAATATAATTTTGAGATAATTATGTAAATAATATTTTAAATATTTGAATTTGAGGTATAATTTTATAGTAAAATATATTATAAAGAGTATTTATATAAATATTGTAAAATAATATAAGTAATAAAAATTGAGACCCCCTCAGTAGTAGGATAGGAAGGGTTGTGTGACTTTTTTTGTTACGTCTATATATAGATGAAGGTATATTTTCACATCTTCTATATATAGATGATATAAAAATTTTTTCTTACGTTTTTTAAGTCATGAATTCGTACGAAAGCGCGACATTATTAAATAAATTAGTAATAAATATTATATACTAAACACATTAAAAAATTAACATTAATTTTAAAATAATTTATTTTTTATCTTTTATAAAAGAAGCTATATATAGATGATGTCAGATATTCCGCGATTAATTAAACATTGTTTAAATCCTGAATGGGTTAAACTTCAATTTAAAAATGAAGATTGTGAATTATTAAATGAATATGAAAGCCAAAATAAGCTAATGAGGTATAAATATAATGATAAAGAATATTTAATTTCATGGAATCAATGGAGTCATAATCAAAGACCTCATAAACGAGAAGAAGAAATTGAAAATAATGAAATGGAAATCATTGATGACATTAAAGAGGATGGAATTCCTAAATTTTGTAGAAAAACCTTTAGAACTAAGTTAGGAGCATATAAACGTAGAGTATTAAATCCTGAATATCTTAAACATTTATTTAAAAAGGAAGACTGTGAATTATTAAACGCTAATGAATATGAAAATGCTAAATCAAAATTGAAATATAAATATATTGGAAGTGATGAAAGGTGTAAAGATAAAGATAAAGTTTATTCAGTTTCATATAATAACTGGCACACGTTAGGGATAAGAAAACATTTAGGAGATTATGGTAAAAGTTCTGAATTCTTTAAATCTAGTATATACGAGAGAGTAAAAGAAATTAGAAATAATTATTTTCATGAATAAAAAATAAACTTTAAAATTCATGTCTTACATTTTTGAATAATTTATTTTTTTAATTCGTAAGAAAATGAGTGGATCAAGATTCGTAACCGTCAATCAATTAATGGATGCTCTTTCACCAATTCTTGAAAATGTTAAACAAGTAGATGTTTATTTCGATGATTATGTAGAAAGTTTATATTATAAAGGTAAGTTTAATATTAAACCTATTGCTTTTGCATTTGATAATAAATTAATTGAAAATGCAAAAATTTGGGAATTAATTCCGAATATTGAATTTATAACAAATATTAATGATAAATGGTTTAAACGAATTCCAACCACAAAAGTTCTTTGTAAATTAATGATCAAAACTGAGGAAAAAGAATTTAACAGGTTTAAATATCATCCAAATAAAGTTTCAGAACTAGAAAATGAAAAACTTCAGAAAAAATTAAACGATAGACTTTCAAATGATCGTATTGAAAAAATAAATAAACTAGCAGAAGTTGCATTTAATAATGAAATATTTGATGAATATAACCTTGAACTCAGTGATGGGCTTTAAGGACCCAGGCTCAACGAGTCATGATTTATGATATCAATTATCTGATTTATTCTTTCTTCAATCTCTTCTATTCTTTTTGTTAAATCATCTATTTTCATTAATGAGGTGATTCTTGATTGAGGAATAGATTTCAAACTAACCACTCCTTTTATTTTTGAAATTTTGAATCCATCAACTTTAAACATTTTATTCAATTTACACGTTGTCAATTCTTCAAATAATTTTTTATTATTAGCATAATAGTCATTAAATTCTTCAACAGAAGAAAAAATTTTTATTTCAGTAATTGGTTTAACAACGTTTATTTTTTGTTGAACATTTCCACTTTCATTTATTTCATCCTCCTTTGTTTCATTTATTTTTAAAATCGGTTTCATTTATCATTAAATAAAAATTAGAATATAAGTGATGAAATATATTTTTTAATTAATATTAAATCAGAAATGGCGGCAGGATTCTTTAAAAAATTATGGGAAGGAATTAAGAAAGCTGCGGGTTGGGTTCATCAAAAGATTATTAAACCTATTGCAAACTTTTTGGCACCAGTAGCGAAAACGGCAGGAACTATCATAGGTGGAGTATTAGGTACTAAAGCAGGTAATCCGGCGATGGGAGCACAAGCAGGTAACGCAATTGGTGGAATTGCTGAAGGAATACTTAATAAAATAGGAGGTAGATAGTGGAAAAAATAAATTATTTTTATCTTAGTATCGGTTGTAGTCTTTGATAAACTTTTTCTCCTTTATTTAAAATTTCTCTTATTGGGGCAGCTTTTGGCGTTATTGATTCAGCAATGTCACTAATTGCTTCTTTATTCTTAAATATCCAATTTGCTCCTTTCTTCATTGTTTCCCAAACTTTATGCGCTCCTCTTTTTACTTTATCCCACAGTTTCTTAAATATACCTGCAGCCATAGTTGATTATTTCATTAAAATTAAAAATTCATTTTCATCTTTTAATTTTGATTTTTTATTTATTAATAAATGACGACTAACTATTTAGTGCCAAACACTAAACCGATTAATGGAAATGTGTTTCATTCATTCGAAAAGATAAATGAAATATTCGCAAAGAATGACGGTAGAAGATATTATAGAGAACTTGAAAGTTCATGCTATGACTCTGATGCTCCATATTTTGATGATAAACAAACTCATTTAAGAATTACAAATCCGGCTCATGATGTGAACCAATTAGGTGACACATATATTAAACGCA